AAGTCCATCAGTGGCTATTAGCCACATGGTATAGAGAGGAAATCTCAGTCTGGGGCAAGTGATGCTCTGTATTCTTGGTGCTGGGGGGTGGGGGCAACAGTGGGAGGGCTTCTGGTGTCCTGGCTCTACTGCTGGACCTCCTGATGGCCCCTGGTGTTTCTGGCCACTGTGTGATACAAAGTGTTGGACTAGATGGCCTGATCCAACATTGGCTTCTCTTATGCTCTTATATGGAGCAGAGGTCCATCAGTAGCTATTAGCCACAAGGTATAGATAGGGGCTCTGGGGCAAGTGATGCTCTGTATTCTTGATGCTTGGGGGGCCAACAGTGGGAGGGCTTCTAGTGTCCCGGCCCCACTGGTGGACCTCCTGATGGCACCTGGTATTTTTGGCCATTGTGTGACAGAGTGTTGGACTGGATGGGCCATTGGCCTGATCAAACATTGGCTTCTCTTATGTTGTTATGTTATGTTTTTTAAGAGTCTGATATTTGGATCGTTTCTTTTAACCTGTTTTGTTTTTTTACCAGTGGGTACACCATAATAAATATTTGTATCTTTATAATAACTTATTTTGTTAGCTTGACCCTCACATATGACAACCATATCTTGGGCTGAGTCCCGTCCTCCCCTTTCTCTTTTTTTTACAACAAGAGCAGCACACATGTCTCTGATTTCCCAGGAGGAAAGGTGGGGTAAAAATATACTAAAACAGATACCCCTCAAGTCCCCTTCAAGCCGAATGCTCGCTTAGGTACCTTGGGTTAGTCACCATTTCTCTGCTGAGCCCACCTTGCAGGGCTGTTGTAGAGGATTTTTTTTTGTAATAGGGGTACAGAAAAAAAGAAAGGGGATATATACATATTATCCTGGGTCATTTATCGAAGGTTATAATACTTCCAGGATATATTAAATAAAAACGTTAAAAAAAAAATACTTCTGCCCGACATCCCCTTCATTAGAATTTCTGTTATTATTATTAATTAGATTTATTAGTCGCCCTTCATTAGAATTTCTGTTATTATTATTAATTAGATTTATTAGTCGCCCCCATCCCAGCTTGGGGCGATGTACAAAGCATAATGTCATAAAATAAATAAAACATTAAAAATGCAATATATAAGACATTTTCTACAATAGTTTAATCATTAATACATGTTCTGTATCACATATTTCATCAATACTGCACACTAGCTATAACTTTTAATAGACCAAAATTATCTACCTCGCAATAAAAAAAAAGAAGTAAAAATATTTAGTTCAAAATCCACTTCTTTATATGTCTATGTTCCAAACCTGTTCGCTTTCTTTTTCTGCATTGATGCTACATTTGGAAGCCTTACAACACATTGATAGACCATTTCTAGAGTTTCTCATTCTAAGTTTGTCTCTGTGTAGAGGATTTTTAAGAAAAGGAATGGGCTAGAGAGACCAGCTTTCTGGCTTGGGATAAGGCAAAACAATGCAAACTCCAGGGTTGGAGACTGCTTACCTCTGGGTAGCTGAATTGTTTGGTCAACTTCACCCGGGTTTGGTCGAGGCAAGGCACGTCTCCGTATCTGTTCTTCTCTTGGTTGCAGGGAGCTCTGTGGTAGCGGAGAAACCGGTACAGACTGTGAGCGTGACTGATATTGTGCTGTGAGAAAACTGGTTTGGGAGGCGGGGGTGG